CGTCGGCAACTGAAATTAACAGTCTGACGTTTGGAAGGATTTAGTTTAGGGCCGTTAGACGAAGACCATTTGCTAATTTCTGATAGAAAGCTGTTCATCTTAGTGCGGTCTAGCTGGGAGTTAAAAGACATTGAAATAGTTAGATCATCGGCATACTTAACAAAGTTCATTTCATCAGAGTGAGGCAAGCCATGCAAGAGGAAAGAAAATAAAAAAGGAGAAAGGACAGCGCCTTGAAGGACACCAACCTCAGTAAGCAACGAAGTGGACGACTTTCCCTGACATACAGTGTACTGCTTTCTTCCTGAGAAATAAGAATGCAGCCATCTGACAACCCAACAGTCAGTTTGAGTTTCAGCAAGCTTATTTAACAAAATGTCCCTAGGTACTGAGTCTAAAGCAGATGTATAATCTAGAAAGGTGCAGCGAACAAATTTGGCCCCCTTGTCTAAGCTGGAGACAATCTTGTGATACAAGACAGCAGCTGCATCTAAAGTACTTCCACTGTGTTTATAGACGAATTGTTTGGGATCGTTAAAGACTTTAAGTGAAGTTTGAAAATTAATTAAGAGTAACTTTTCCATAGTTTCTAGAAAAGGAGAGGTAATAGCAATAGGTCTAAATTTAAAACATGTTCCAGGAGACGACTTAGGTACAGGTACAATTGTAATGTCCTTACAAACGGCTGGCACGACATTTCTGGAAAAAGAATCTTTGAATATGTCCATGAGAGGATAACACAGGATATCTGCACACATTTTAAGAATAACACTAGGCAAACCGTCTGGACTTAGGCTACAAGAAGGGTTCAGGGACTGGAGACATTTTAGAACATCATTTGTATTGAAACCAGGGAAGCAGGTTTCATTAACACTTGTAACACCAAAAAGTTTGGCATTTGTGGGAGAATGAATGAAAGACTTGTTTGGAGTGCATACATCAAGGGAATAAGGAATACCGTTGGTTTGCTCACCACCAGTAATTTCTTTGAAAAGTTCCCATATATTAGACGCATTTTTACAGGATATAAACTTTTGGTTGCAAACTGAATTCAACGTCAGCATTTCAGACTTCATTAGAATGTTAATTCCTTTCAAACCAGTATTATCCTTCATTTTATATAACTTTTCTTTTTGTCTGCGAAGCTTTTTAAGTTGAGGGGAGGAGAAACGGTCAAATCTGATGAAGAGCGTTTCTCTGGGAAAGCAGGTGTCAAGAAAAAATTTGAAATAACTTGTAATATTAGAGATTGTGTCACCAAGAGAGTCTTCATTAAACAGGTCCCGCCTTGTGTCTTTGGGCATACACCTAAGATTCTGAACATGCTCCATAGAGTAACATACATATACAGTTTTCTTGGGAAGCTGTGAAATAGTTCACTTGTGTAACTTTCCATAAGTTTAAGGTAAAACCCGTACAATACAATGATCTGAGTTAAACAGTGGGTCTCTTTTACGAGCTTCGCATATTCCGCAATCATTTATAAATACGAGATCAAGAGGATTATCCATTTCATGACCTAGCACTGTGAGAAACCTGCGATCACATGAATTAAAATCACCTGTCACTATGGAAAATGAATTTCCAAAACAGGCGGCAGCGAAAATACTGAATTCATCAGCAAACATAGATAGTTCTGAGGTGCTACAACAAGGTGTACCATAAATGTTCGTGATTTAAATGAATTTGTACCTAGTAAGTTGCTTAGGTCTACATTTGACAGTTATACAGTTTTAGAGATTGCAGGTATCGACGTTCGCGAGTTGTACGGATTATACTAACGCAAGATCTTATACCAACAACTTCTATAGTGTTCGTTCTTCCAGTACCAAAGATAAAGCAAACGACCAGATTTTGTCATCCAAAGTACGTAGTACATTTCGGGACAAAATTGCAGGTAGAGATGAATGCCTAGCTAGCTAGTAATCGTGCACGCACGTGACACGACGGAGTACCAAATGGCGGGGATGATTGACCGGAAGCCTTCGGCTAAATAAGTTGACTTAAACAGTGATGGTCAGCATCCAATGTTGAGTGATGATTGCTGTGGTTAATAATTTTGGGGAATTATTTACCGCTACACAGTCAATATTATCATTTGAGGATTTAAAAGAGACGTTGTTGGCAACAGACTACTGAGAACTGATAAAAGTATCAACACCACCACCTCGCTTCTTCCTTGAACTACTTCGGTCTTGTCTGTGCATATTGAAACCATTCAGTTAGATTAAATTGTAATCATATATATCGTGAAACCGATTTTCCTGAAGCGTTATTACACCTATATTACGGCAAATAATTGAACATAATAAAGAATCCAAGTAATTAATCTTGTTCGATAATGACCTGCGATTCGTGCTCATGATCACAGGAACAGTCATCTGATGCACTGGAGTACACTTTAAGGATATGTTTGCCACCCACCATGATGCTTTTTCCTAAGGTTATTATATACTCGTAAATCACCAGTTTGAAAACATTTTCAATAATCGCGAGAGTAAGTAACACGATTTGGACACATAACTGAATAATTAAAACAAAATAAATCCAAGTAATGAGATGCAATATAAGTGATGGAAAATTTTGGTAGCCCAAGGTTTAACCAGGTCGCCAAGTCCTGACGTATAGCACAGAAGTTCTCTGCCAATTGTGCTGTACTTGGTTTCTGCTACTTGTAGACGCCTCGAGAATAAAGCGAGTGGTTGCCACTTTCTGTTAACTAGTTGTTGCAGAAATGTGCCGATTGCAGTGTCAGATGCATCAGCTGAGATACTCAACGGTTCCAATGGGTCCTGATATATTAGAAGTGTGGCATCCGCAATAGCTTTTTTGACCTGAATGAAAGCATATTTAGCAGACGCGTCAATTTCTATGGATTTGTTATTCCCTCGAAGAAGGTTTGTTAATGGCTGAATCAGAGACGCACAGTTGAGAATAAACCGTAGATTATAACTTACCAAGCAGTTAAAAGTGCGAAGACTTTTCACTTTTTGTGTCTCTTGAAAGTTCAGCATCGCCTCAACTTTACTACCCGGGGGGCGAATACCCTTGCAGTCAATGGTGTGGCCCAGAAAGTCGATTGAGTCAATGTCTATCTGACATTTTCGAATATTAATGGTAACTCCATATCGGCCTAACCTTTCGAACACCAAGTCCAAGTGTTTTGGGTGAGTTTCCTTGTCTGGACTCGCAGTGAGGGGGTCGTCTAAGTGCGCATATGCAAGGTCGAGACCACGAAATACTTAACCGATGAATCGTTGGAACTTTTGCGCTGCATTCCAGAGGCGGAATGGCATGCGTGAAAATTCAAAATGTCAGAAAGACGTAATGACAACCATTTCTGGAATATCTTCTGGTGCCACCGGGATTTGGTTATACGCTTTAACCAAGTCGATTTTTGAGAAAATATTTGCATGACATAATGTTGCCGTCAAACCATGTATGTGAAGCAATGGGTAGCAATCAGCGGCTGTTTTGGTGTTCAGTCGCCGGTAATTACCAGTGGGCGCCAATCGTTGCTACTCTTTTCGGTACCATATGCAGTGAGGATGCCCATGGGCTATTCGATGACCGAATGATGCCAAGCATGTATTAGAACTCATCTCTAGTCAGTCGTAGTTCGTCAGGAGCAAGTCATTGGGCTTTAGATGTCACGAGTTGTCCTGATGTTGTAATGTGATGCATAACATTTCTGGTTATGCACGGTAGATAGTTAGACGGGCAATTAAGTTCCGGGTACTCATCAATAATTGGTTGAAAAGTAAGATCATAGATTGCCTTCATCTTAAAGAATGACAAGTTATGGCCTACGTAGGTGATACCTTTGATAGACAGTCTAGTAGTATTGTCAATCAGTCGTTTTCGGTGGAAGTCTACGAATAAATCATGGTGATTAAATAGGTTCGTGCCAATGATGGGCTTTGTGACGTCAGAGAGAAGGAAAATCCACTGAATAGGTTTGGACTCTGGACTCGACAACTGCACAGTTACGCACTTGCTGAATTCCCACGGTAGGGCGTGAACAACTACAAGGAACCATGAACGTTGATCAGTTATCCTATGCTCACTAAAATCAGACTCAGCTATCTAAAACCATGATTCAGCATTATCCGGCCAAAATCGTACGAGCTGAATGGTTTTGGCAGTTGAGCAAACACGAATGATCACTCATGAAAATAGTACAAGAACAAATACAAAATGTAACGAACTCACCGGATTTGTCTGTGTATTTACCAAAGGTGAAGTTCGTGGTAGGGCTCACCAGTTTAGAGGCTGACAGTGTCAACGTTCACGGATAGTACGAAGTATACTAACGCAAGATTTTAGACTCACAACTTCTATAGTATTCCTTCCGCTTAGACCAAAGGCAAAGCAAAAGACAACAATTGATCGTCCAAATTACGAGATATATTTCGAGACCAAGTCGGATTGCTTAGCTGGCTAGTGATCCTGCACGAACGTGACACGATGGAGTACCAAATGGCGGGGATGCTTGACCGGAAGCCTTCAGCTAAACAAGTTGACTTAAACAGCGAGAGTCAGCATCCAATGTTCAGTGATGATTACTGTAGTCAATAAATTTGGGGAATTATTTACCTCTACAGGACCCACACCAGTCTCCAATCATTGTTTCAAAGACACTAGCACTCTACAGCTATCTGGCTTAAAGCAACAGTCGGAAACTTCGTGGATTGATACGGTGTTTCGGTTTCACCATGGCCAACTCCTTACCAATCCAATCCGTTGTCAGCTCACATTGTTAGTTAAGGAACGCGATGGCTTGGCATGATTTAAAAATATCGAAGATAATATTTATTTATGGTTGCTATATTTTAATCCCTAGCTGATAGGAATGGTCTACTACAATACAGTTCGTTTCTGGTTTCTGAAGGCGATGAGAAGAGTTGATAGTAAATCACTTTTAATTTTTTTATTTTACAGATTAAATTTTTTTTGTTCATAAATATCAAGGAATACCTGATAGAAGGAAACCTCAGCATCTTTTCTTTGGTCATCCAGACTAAGTTATTTGTAATGTCAAATGACTACAGATGAGTTAGCATTAAGCTGTTCCATATCAGCCAATAGGGTGTGAAATGCAAAATAGTAGGTACGACAAGCACGCTTATTTTGAACACAAACCTTACTATATGGATATCTAGTCATGGTCGTGATAATAAATTTAGAATGACAATGACATAACCAACATTGCTTCAGCCTAAAATATTTAACTGTATGAAGGGAAACATAAAAAAGGTCGAGATTCTGAAGATATCATAAAACTGTCATCTTTATCCCGGTTTAAATATCCATACCTGTGCTGTAACTAACACTCATTTCCTTTTTCATTAAAGGTGGAAACTAAATGAAACTACCAGAATTCAGCCTAGTTACTAAATGATCAGATGCTACTTGATCGTACCGATTCCAAGTTCAATTAGAACTAAGTGGATTACTTTACACTGAACTTTACAGCGCACATTAATTTTTGATATAGTCAATAGTGAAGTAGTCCTTTTGCTATAAACATACTGAGTACGCACTGACAATACGCAACTAGAATTTTCTCTAAGAATTACAATAAAATACATCTGGAAAAGCTGACTAAGCGACAACGACACATGGCTAATCCATTTACTGAAGACAACTGCACGGCGACTGCAGAGTTAAATAAAACGATAATGAACTGCAAAGACTTCGTGTGAAGTATTCGATTTAAGCCACAGAACAAGTATGCAATAAAATTAAGCATACCTATTAATAAAGTATTTTCATATTAAAGACATATTTTTTAGATTTCTACCTAAATTAAGGCAAAGCAAAAAATATTCTGACAATGACATCATATTTAACTCGTGCACGTAGTTATGAAAAACAATCTCAGTCTAGAATAGATGTAATCAGAGCCAAAACAAAATGCGTAAAAATGAGATTAACATCATAAATGAAGTACAAAATATGAGATTGAAACAATTGAAAGCAGTGAATAGTTTATTTGGCTGATAATTTAAAAAGAGAGAAACGTGAATGTGAAAAATATAACGGATTAAGAAATATGTTGATACAGATATCAGATCTAGCTTTTGGATCATGATGACAGGTTCAAATAGATGAATTAATTGGCTGATGAATTATATTTCTTGGTAGCCAACTTGGCGTCGTCGACTGCCAATGATAAAGGCAATTAGTGCGACAACTATCATAATCACCAATAAAATTCCAACAACTATTGGGATCACTTTAGTGGGTACATAGTCGGCAGAACAAGAATAATCTATAAATAACAAAACAAAGTAAAGTAACAGTAACAGAGATTGCAGAAATCCTAGTCAGTAGAAATAATCTTCAAACAGAAACCATGAAATACCATCTGCACAACACAACCACTTCAGTAAATCTTTTTATTCGAGATTAACAGTCAGATTACTAATGTGGCATGGGTGATAGTAATTTTCTAACCTATTTTTTTTACTGTTTTAGTGTAACAACTGTGGGAAGCTATGAAAACCAATTGCATAAAAGCACTGATTATTTTTAACACTTACACTACTACACTTTTTCTCTAACCTTTTCCTGACTTTTCTGTTAAATGACACCATCTCTCTTTATTGTGTTTATTGCCTGATAGTCATTGAAATTGTAATTAAACAACTATTTTCTTCTCGTCTAATGATACTGAAAAAGTGCACTGGTAACTATAATATTTCCAGAAATAAATTGGAATAGAGACAAGATTTTCGATGTAGTTGCAGCAATGTTCACAAGCAGAGGGACAATCAAAAAATGAGTATTAAAGCAAAGGAGAACAAGGGAATGAGTGGTGGCTGGAACACATTTTGAGAATTTCAGGTGGCCCTTATCCGTACAGCTTATTAGCTTTGCTAGTTAAGGGACTGGTGTGTGAGTGTGTGTGGGAGGAAGGCAATAACGCTCCTTAAAGGTATATTGTAAAATGAGGAATAGTTGTGTCGTATTTCTACCTTTTAATTTGTGAGCACTGTTTGATGGCTGCACAAGAGATCGTGCAACTAAGTAGTTCAAAATACCATTTTCTAATGTCTACTATAGAAAAAAGTGGTGATTATGTAGCAAATTTTTTCAGCACTATGAAATTAGAATCTCTTTTCAATCCCCCCGGTCATTCTTAACTTTTACTGCATTTATACAATGTTGTTTCGTTATTTCTTTTTTTATCATTATAGCTTGATTCCACACAGTATTTTGGTACAAGTGTGGAATTTTAAGCATGTGATATCGGTAGCCCAAATTTTACAGGCCGACCATTGATATCAGGTGTGTGTCGGCAGGGGATCAAACCCCGGACCATGGGCATGGTCGGCGAGAGTCCTAACCGCTGTGCCACCGTCTAGCAGATTCCTAGGAGGTCATGCGGTAAGGCACCCATCTGGCGAATATATAAACGAATAAGTTCGAAAAAAATCAAAGAAAAAACAAGGCATATCTAACTGGTTTAAAGACAGTATGGAGGCAAATAAATTTTCATGTTCCTGTGAGCTAAATTCGTACTAATTATTGTTTTACATAATGACGAAAGCTGATAAAAAGCATTACTCTGAGTAGAATGATACTGACAATTGATACTATTAGCATGATTTACGATGAAAGCATTTAGTAACGCTGCGTAATACGTTTATAAACACATGTAGTAAAGGTGATATAATTATCCAAGGTGAATGGTGTAGGCATTTTGAAAGCATTATTTACATATACATTAGCATGCGTTGATAATGGTGCGTCTGTCTCTAAAAGAATAACAGCTAGCGGAAAAAACAGATAGTGTGAGGGGAACTTGGACTACAAAGATAACTCTACTAGAAAATTAATAATCTGTATCACAAGCTACTGTGCGAATTGGAATTATGTTAAAGTAAACTCAGTAAATCACCTAAATAATAAGTCCATGAAGAAGTAATTTTAGTCAGGTGTATGGTAATTTATTTGTTTTTATTGTTGTCCTGTATATTGATTTGTTTCTCCGTGCGCTGTTGTGAATTAAATAAGCGATAATAAAACGTAATATTTATGTTTGTGCTATTTACTAGGATGCTTCATGGAGTTTATCACTATGGGAACCGACTGTCTGTCTTTGTACACATCAAGCAACCAGTTGTTTTGCATACAAACATGTCTGTCAGTCTGAAACCTTTTTCAAATTGGGTCTTAGAAGTGTCTAAAAACAAAAGCAACGTCTATAGCTGAGAACATACGGTAGTATAGTTTTCAGTATTCAAATTCACAGAAGAAAGGTTCTTATAAGTCAAATCTGAAATGATAGATCTCGTGAAATAATGCTAATTAGTGGTGAAAACAATAGTACTTACGTGGTCCTGTGAATTCAGGAGAAGAACCATTATTTCTGAATGCTTCAACCTGGAGGTCAGTAACTGTTAATCGTATATTAGTCGAATTCGACAATTTATCCTTTAACTCATATGTTTGTTCACTGATACACATAAAAGACGATCCCATAGCACAAGAAAATATTAATTTGTCACTGGAAGCACTTGATGCATCTACAAAACAGTAAATAGTCAACAAAACAAATGACATAAACCAAATAACTGTTTATCGTATAATCAAAAATGTAAACGTATATATATATATATATATATATATATATATATATATATACGTGAAGAATCTGTCACAAAACACATAGACTTCTGAACATAAGCAAAAACCACCCAGGGTTTTACACTTATAAGACAATATAAATCAAATCTACATCATGTTTGGTGTCGTAATTCTAAAATATCTCAAACACCTAACGACTATTTCAAATAGAAAAGTACTGAATCTTTCCAGTTCACAGGTAACAGATTACTTTTGTTATACCATGGTAATTTATGCACGCTTAGCCGATGAATATGTAATATATATTTTAAACTTTTATGATGGCAACTAGTAAGTAAAATTGTACTTAAATATTATGAAACAATATTTTTTCATTCCATGAGTACCGAGTGGGACAAAGGGATTCAGGCTTGAACTTTTTTTACTGTCACACCAAACCTTCTCTCTTTCCCGGGCATACTGACGGTCATGCAAGGTTTAGGAGTGTGGTGGCCGAGAGCTGAACCCGAATCTCCCTCGTGGCTGGCGAAAATTCTACCACTGAACCAACAACCTATATTACCAAGTGCAAAATTAAGTTTACAAGAGTTTCATAAACAAAGTTAGTTGTGAAATTAAATATTTTATAACTCCCTCCAAGACATAATCTAAAGTAACTCAATGCCGATTTAGTGCACTCACGTATTGTGTTGCATACAAACATACATCTGTTGAAAGACCGAAAGAATTCTTGTAGAGTAGTAAACACATGCATGTTCATATTCGTTGCAAAACCATGAAGTTCCGTTCTAAGACATTAGTATATCAAAGCATATTTAGGCAAATTGCTTTCAACCTGAAAATACATAGTGCTACGTGTTTCTATGTCTACAAAGCTACATACTGTATTTTATATGTACAGTTTTACTATACTATTCACTTGAAGTAGGTGGAGTGGAGTCCCGACCTGTAACTCAATAATTGGAAATAAATTCTTAAAGCAAACTGCAACACCATTATAAATAGTGATACTTTTTTTAAGAGACTGGCCTATCTAACTGATACCATCCGCACTATTCTCTTTGTTTATAACATCTACAGAGTAATAAATGCAAGAAAATTCTCTAGGTGTACAATTGCAATGAATCGAAAATTTGTACACCTCCAGTTCAATGGCTTTCACAGTAAGTGTATCCTATTAAAACTATTAGTCCCTTTGATAAATGTCGTCAAAAAGAACATGTTCCAAAATGGCTACTAAATCATATAGAAAATCCCAACGCGACTAATCTGAATAGAAATTCAACATCATCCATTGCAAAACACTTATTAATGTTAGGTCACAAAATCAATATTAATGACTGTTTCACAATTATTTCACATAACTCTAATTCAAGGTTATTGAAGCACTTTGGATCAATCACATACAGCCTAAACTGTGTGTACAAAAAACAGTAGACTTCAACCTTCGCGTACCATGGACTACTTGGCCTATTTAAATACGATTGGTCATTAGTATGTACTTTTGTTTTTTATTTAACTGCGTAATTGTCATGAGCTTTATTTTATTATTGTTAACCATGTTAGTTGTAAAGCGGTTGTAAACAAACTACGAAATGATATCATCTCGCGAAATTTGTCTTCTTAATGCCTTATTAAAATGTACCCTATTAGTTTAAATCGACGCTACCTGCAGAAATTTGTAGAGTGGAGTAATATAATCATCTTTCGAACAATAGATCTAGTGCTTAGTCAATGAACATCCACATCACTTCCACCTTAGAACAGTCTAAATCACTGCTTACTGTTAGAGAAAGTCTTCATAGAGTTATAAAAAGATACCTTTGAAAATTCATTCAAACTTGCTTTCTGATTAAAGTATTACAACAAGAAGTGAACAAAAATAATAAGAATAATGACAAAACAATAATGATAGCAAGAATAGAAACAGCCGTCCGTTAACAGTTATAAATTATGTTAGCAACTTCATACCTAGCACTTCTTTCCATACATAAAATGCGTGTCGAGTAAGATATCACTGAGCGTAGTCTTTAAAGATTTTTTTTGGCTTACATGAGGAGAAGCACTGTCAAAACCACAAATAAGGAGGATGCTCAGAGTCTGGTAAAAAGACTTTAGCCAAATTCTTGCACGAGTCCGAATGTGTGTCAACAAAATCAATGGGTAGGCTCAGAGGCAAATCAGTTATCTTACTACAGGCCTCAGAATTCTTCCTAACATAATATAATCTATTATAAGCAAACCAGGAGAAAAATAAACACTGAGCAATAAAGATCCGATTGTTAGCTAGGTATAAAAGTATAGAGGGTATTATTTTGAGGAAAATATTTTAATAAGAAATAGTATTTAGTTAGGTAATACTATGATTAAATTAGATCAGCATACATTGCCTTTAGTGAGTTTACTACTCGGGTAAAATCTAATGGTTCAGCGTTGGAACATAAACTGGAGGTACTAACCCCCTGACTTCCCACCTTTAAACTAATGATTCCTAGGTTCAAGCATAGTTTCGCCTACTTCGGACTAGTAAACCATGTTGTTTCATAAGCATTTATGAAATGAACATAGCTCACGGCATTGGAGATAAACATGTACCAGCACAATGAGCTATTTTCTGTGGAAAGGTAGGACACATACACTCATTTCAGGCTCATCAAGTTAAGTGTCGATATTGTAGTAAGTTGGTGCTTTTAACGTGATAGTCATCACTTCACGATAGCGGTATTATAGTCTATCTAGAAAATAGTTAGTTCGCTAAAAAATATCAACAATATGGAATTGTAAACTTAGATAAAATGAAGCAGTATTAGGCATACAACTATTGCAACTATATTTTACGAAGAGTATGCCCTTATAAAAATCTATTATATCGATCACTGTACACATGAAATTTCACAGTATAAAATCGATATCACTACACTACTTTGCTTTACACATAAACATGTGAGCAGAAATATACAGAAGGGTGGAAAGCATTGCATTTTGTAGGGGAACATGAACAAGGACTGATATTATTAATATTGACATAGTGATTACGATTGTTATACATTTGCACACATAAAGTGAGACATGACATTTTAAATCATTTTTTAAAAGTCATTAAGGTTAGTGTTAATGCATTCATGGTAACAATGACAATGCCAAAATAATACCTCAACACCATCGGAAAACATTTTTAGCAATCAATTCAATAGACAGGAATGTGAAATAATAATCGAAGATATGAAACAAACTAATTATATATCTCTGCATTTACAATTAATAAAATGAACGACTGCGCAAATAATCATGCACAAAACTGTACATTCAGATTATAAACACGTGAATTTGTAATGTGTGTTATAATTTATTCATAACATCATTTTTCCAGTGAATTCGGTTAACAACCACAATGTTTTCATAGAATAGTTACACGCACAAGTCATCATAACATATACACCATACTCTACAAAAATACATCGAACAAGCAGACAAAACATCGTAAAACTCAGCATACTTGCACAGTAAGTGTTAAATTGACATGAAGAATACAAAGCACTACCGACAGATATTTTGTATTCATTATGATTGTTGTATTGTAGAATTTCACATGCATTACAGAACTGAGTCATCTCATGACTTTCATTAGTTTAAAATAATTATATCTGTTACGAGACATAAATTGCGGCCATCAATTTTCATTATCTGATCCATAAATGAATATATGTATTGTTCTGTATCATTCTTACAACAAATCACACTAGACGAGTCATTGGTTAGGTGGCTACACTTATATTTCCAAAACTCGAAAAAATTCACAAATCTGATACTTAACTAGTCACAAATTGATAATTATAACAAAAATAACAAAGCCCTAAACAGCTATTTCAGCTTATTTTAGGAATCCCCTAAGTAATGAGCCCTTATACTCCATTAGAGGTTGAACCAAAGGTTATTTATGCCAAGACATTGCCTTTCTCAACAAGAAACATTAGCTGACATTGGCTTGGCTTGGAAAGGTGTTTGCCATCGTCAAAGCAAAAGATCTCATCAATCCAAGAAGTCTTCCATCTTTCCTTTAAGCCAGACAGGGAGGTGTAGACTGACTGACTGGCACCACTGATACGCTGAGAAGCAATGATTGGAGACTTATCCTGACGTGGTTGAAAATCGTTGTTAGTGGCGCAGATCTCTTCACTCTTCGTGATATCTCGAATCCATTCAGTCTCCGATACATTCCTGCTTATTACAGTTCCTGTGAATTTTCTTCTGTTTCTCTACCTTTGCGTGCTATATGGAGCGTGGTAACTTGCGCTGCCGCACCTGTGTACAAAGTTCTCCGTCAAAACTCAGTCGGTCGATCAACTTGAAGAAAAACGAAAAATCCAAAGAAGATATTTCTTCGTTGATTTCAGTTTAATAGTTATGCAATTGAATTTCATGAACATTTTTCGTTCTAGAGGTTAGCACAGCCAGAATTATCATTTAACTGGACATTGTGTCAAAGGTGAGATTTAGAGAATTTAATCTTTCAACATAGAAAATTTTTTAAATTGTGATCAGGAACAAATATTAGAGAGAAAAGACCAGGAAGCTCAGCAAAGGTATTTTTCGGAGATTTCATCCCCAAAAGCTGCACAATCGCATTTATATACATAAGTTTACATAGATACAAATAGTGGAAAAGATAGATGCATATGGAAGCCAAAAAATAAAACGGAATGAGGAATATGGTTGTCTTACATGTGAAACAGTATCACCGAGAAAATTGTGATCAAGATATGCTTAAAACAGATTTAAATAGTACTTCATAGCTCCAGGTGAATAAATGATTGAGATTACTAAAAAACCAAACCAAACGAAAAGAAAACACTAAACTAGATTTAAGGTAGATGCAGGGATTAAACGAGTTACTTTGAAACACATAACTCCGACATCTCCATGGATGTTGCAAGAGAGTGAAAAGACAATATGATTGATTTGCCGTGAGCTTCCCTACTAACCCCCCATTAGCCATTCGCTTTATATCTAGCCTGAAACCAATGATCAACAGATCACTTCTACAAAAAATGTTAATAGATACTTTTATAATTGGTCACGATGATTCTGATTCTAAATGTTTTAATAATAATAATTGTTATCCTTCGGTTCAATCCACATTCAGTGTAAAAAAAATTGATCAAAGATCCTGTTGCTGAAGGCAGAGTTAAATAGTAAATGATACAACTCTGCAAAGATCTATCTACGGAAAAGATTGATAGAATGACTGACTAACAATTTTCTACAGCTGGGTACTTCGGAATAGAAAAAACTCGCTACTATTTCTTTCTCCTACCGCATCACACGAAACTGAAGCACTGACTGGTTAGAAGAACAGCCATCGATTCTTAAAACGGCCTGATTGAAAATGCATACTCAAGTACGTTTGCGATGAAGAATACTAAATCAAAACCATAAAGAAAACAATAACATTCACTTTCACAGGAAACACGGACTTAGACTTTAGGAGAACCTTAGCGGTAGATGTCTTTTAAAAAGAATTTCTAGCTCCCTAATGCAGGCCTTTGCAGAAACTCGATAAGTGATATTCACCAGTCCTTGACTGCTGTTCAGCACTTTGCAAGACAAGCTTTTGGATCTGATAGTGGGAATCCATAATTATTAATTTGACTACTCGTTTTTTACATCGTTCGGTAAATTTGCCGAATGAAGGATAAACTCCAACATAACAGTTCAGCTGGTCCCGTGAGGCCGGTATATAAGTTGTTCCATGCATGCCTTTTCTTCTAGGCTGATAGCCAGAATCTGAAGGATGGTTACAACTAATTCGGCTTTCTGAGCTGGGTCAGACTGAGCACACCATTGATGAACCAGGCCCCGAACGAGTGCAATGGTCATCCGGTGTTTAGATCACTTACATCTAATATAAGTATAAAATTTGGGCACTATGGTAGAGTATGGATAAGATTTTATTTTGATAAATCACACAGTGTTATACAGTAATATTAACTGATGACGTTTCGAGCACTAACTATTGCTTGTAATTATATCAAGTTACATCTAACTGATTGATACTACTGATTGATGTGAGTAGTATTGAACTACCCACATAAGTTAATCAGTAGTATATAAAACCATCCGTTTAAGTATATTTTGCTTTATAAGTGTATGAGTATATGTGAAGCCAGAACTCACAAAAGTTACATGATTACATGTGATCAAAATAAGGTGGGGTAGGGTAAAAGTAATAAAAAAGGGAACATATTTGAGTGAAGAGAGGTCAATCACAGAATCTTTGTTCATCAAATTAACACTAAGCACGTGTAATCAAAATGATCAAACACCTATACCAGATATGTGGAAAATAGTGATAGAAAAGCATGAGGAAGTATGGTTATAGAAAGCAAGTCAGGAAGTTGTGTAGTTGGATTGATAATGATTATGAGTAATAAGCTGAAACACCATCCAGTTATTAATATTGTATTACTGTGTTATATAAAATGAACTCATCTGATATGAAACTAAGATGAAATTATTTTCACCATTACATTTACAAACTTAAAAACACTAATAGTCAAATGTGTAACCTTGAAACTGAGAGGAATATAACATCGGTAGATCCCTACCATATTTATTCACCATCACAAATAAATGTACAGAAATATCATCATTCATACTCATACACATATTGCGCATGCCAAGTGATTGTGTAAATAAAGTCATAAAACAACAAGGAATTAATTCGAGTATTTAAGCACTACTTTACAGTGCATGGAATGGCAGTCAGCTTGCTACCTCAACTTCATCGACTGAAAAGGTGTTTCATTACTCTCAAATCTGTGTGGAAGTAAACAGCACTCAGCATTAAAAAATTAGATCCAAATTTCGCACTCCAATGTGAAGTCAGTGCTACTATGCGGATCAGAGACTTGGCGCGTCCCGAAGGGCACTTCGAACAAACTACAGACCTTCATCAACAGCTCTCTTCACCACTCAAGATCAGATGGCAAGAAAAGATCAGCAACAGGGTGGGATCTCTGGGAGCGAACCAACCAGGAACCAATTTTGCAACAAATATGCAGGAATAAATGGAGGTGGATTGGTCATACTCTGAGAAAACCATCAAGTGACATCACACACCAGGCCACTGCTCGAGTGGAACGCGAACGGGAAGCGGCGAGTTGGTCTTCAGTGTGAGGGTGACATGGAGGAGGTCATGTGAAGAGATGAAAGCATGTGGGCAGACGTGGAGCCAGGTGAAAATGTTGGTGGGGAACCGAACGCAATGGAGACGTGCGGCTGAAGCCCTATGTTCCTCTAGGAATTAAAGGAATCAATAATAATTATTATTTTAGTGTTGTTTTAGTCAGACTTTTCACTTGAATTGTTCCAGGCCATTCGTGGAGCTGCTTAGAAAGATATGGAATTTTATCACAGCTAATGAAAGCGACAGCTTCAAAGAGAATCACTATATATGTGAAGTAACACTTAATCTAAATTTGTTTTGAAAATGTAATATTATAGAAAGTCTCAACACTCGTTCCCCCGATTATTTTTCCCCTTCAACACGTTTGGCAGACTACATAGGCAAACTTGTGTTGGAATATACATCAATTAACAAAAAGAACTATTCATAGTTCATAAGCTAATAATGTATGTATTTGTATATTCAGCTACTTTATGGCAGATCATGTAATCAACTTCATTTGAGTAAATGTAGAATATCAATAACTTTCATAACAATCCACAAATGATAGTCGGGTTACTGACGGACACATAACTCCGCATAAAAGCAAAGCAGTTCAAGTTATCAAACTTCAGAAAAGTACAGAATAAAAATGTAATGGACAAAAACGTATGGGATAGAGAAATAATTACATGAAGATTAGTAAGCATTTACAAAAATGATGATAAATAATAGCGAATATATCTGCGCCAATGTACATGATTCTAAGACACGACACCGAAAGTCTCCAACAGCTGATTCTTAGTCCCCCAAGGCAGTCGACATCTCCCTCAGATCAGTCCTTTGTAGTCGTACTGGTGCTACGTTATTTCCTCATTGCCCATAACCATTTTTTTCAACCATATTCTGTTTCGGTTATCATTGCTAGTCAAGGAAGACAGTGGCTTGGCATCCGTAACACACTGCTTAGCCATCTTAATTAATGGAATCCCGCAACATTATCTGGTTTTTCCTTCCTAACTAACACAGTGACTAACTTTATTTTTATTGACCACACTACCGTATATGAGCAGTTGAACGAAAGCACACATGATTGCAAAACGTAATCTCTGAATCCATTTTCACTGGTTGTGTCACAGTTGAAAATGCAAGCTGTTGCGCAGTACACATGCCGTATGATGGGCCAGAGACCAGAAAAGTTGGCAAACACCACACCAGCTTTTTGTCGACGTCCTAACGTAACGTCAGCCACTAATCCATTGAAACTAATACAAATCTCTAAACAGTACAGTCATCAGTACGTTCGACCATTTTCACCCGCTAACGTTAAGCCGAGTATCGCTGCAGATCAGTGCTGCAAAATCATTTTGCATCTAACAGCGTAACGCCCATCAAGCATACACAAGGCATTCAGGAAAGTGGATTTTGAGCAAGCAGAATTAGTGTAAGCTTATCTAAAACCAAAGACACCTAGAGATTACTTTTAAAGCTGAATGGACGTTTAAAACAGTGAAAGTTTAATTACTTTAAAAAAAACTTAGTTTGTGAACCTTAATTCTCGAAAAAACCTATCAGTACGGAAACTGGAAAGAAAGCTAACCTGCGTTCTCTAACTTGTAATCCAAGAAAATATTGCTCAAACCGTAATAGCCAGGTTGAGGATGAGAGAAATTTAAAGACAAACTCCAATTCAAAACAGAATCTTCAGGTACTCCTTTTAATGATAAAAGGTTAAATTTATCACCGCAAATTCCACTGGAAGTAATTTTATCAACATTTGTGGAGTTAATGTATGTTGTGAATACTGAATCCGACTTCACATCAGAATTCTGAAATAAAATATTGTACAATACATTAATCACATGCCATAATGTACATTGAAAAAATATATCAGTGAAAAGTAGACAAAAAGATTGCGGTACAAACCTCATAAAATCATAGTGAAAATCACTAGATTTAGTACGACTGTTTACTAGGTACGCTAATGATCTACACTTAATAGTCCCACTTATTCAGTGGACGAAAATATGCCAAATATATTTCAGTGACGGCTTTACAGGATACATTTCGGGACTTTTAATGGAAGTAAGGAGAAAATTTCAAACTCAGTTTCTTTCAGCCTATCTGAAGTACCTGAATATCTGAGGTAACTTTAAATTTAGGCTACGAAATCAGTATCCGTAAATATCACTTGTAAACAGACTGAGAATGTATTCCTCGAGAAACAAATATCTGCTTATCTACGAAAACTTTCTGCGTGATGGAAAACCTTGTCTTTGAATCTGCACATAACTGTAGTTACTTACTCACTCATAAATCCCCCCAGGTAGGATTTTTCAACTGCTGGCATGTTATTTCTTGAAACCTAACCATGCGAAGAAATACGGTTGAAAAACAGACTGGAATAATTTGACAGTACACACTGATGGCATGCCAGTCTACATCAGCACATCGCACTAATGAAACATAAAATTTTACTGAGAAAATACTCGTCTCATTATGAACTTTGCAAATAAACCAAACCAGAGAAGCTAAACTATAGTAGCCATTCCGGTTCATGACCTTCGACAACGAATTATTTAAATGTCTTCTGTTCCGGATTTGCTTAAAGAGTTAAGGAATATCGAGTATTTGGTTTCTCTGCAAGTAGTGGGTTGATTACAGTTACTAAAACGTAGTTATGCTGGGGAAGTTAAACAGGATATCTGGTCCTGGGAGGATGTGGATTTTGGCGTATATTAAAGAACAAAACCTGGAATGATAACGGGTCTCAGAACAGCATGACTTGAAATTCAACACCACACCAACAAGGTGGGATAGTTTTCACTACCTCAAATCCGTGACTGATGGTTGAAATCTGACTGCAAGCTACCAATTAACAGCAAAAAAAGACGGAGTAGTACGGACACCATAAGAAGCAAAGAGCTAAACAAACAAAGGAGATAAACACAGACACTCGGTGTTATTGGTCAAAGCAGGGTATGTAAGTGTATCAATACAACTGCAAACTATTCCAAATAAACTACCTAATATTTTTGACTAGTACTTTATTTATCTCAATTCTCAGAAACGAAATTCACCTCTGAGGAAAAAGTATGAGTCGGACGTACAGCTGAGATTCACGCAAGCATCTAGGGATTACGAAAAAGTCTACAATGCAAATGTATTCATATCTAAGAACTACTTGACTTCTTAAGGTTTACTGTTTTCATGCTTCTAGAACACAAGGATGATAACAAGTGAAATCACTTTCTTTAAAAGTGAGAACAATCACTGACTCAAGTCACTTTAAGTGGATAACTTCCTTTCATACTTGAGTTCTATAATCAAACTAATAGTACTGAACCATTAGTTTAAATAACTCGATCACAGTGATTCATTTTCTTGGTTTTAAAACTATCATTCCGCAATCGATTCCTACTTTACCCATTATTGTGGCGTGACCGAATCCCAGTTATATAGCATGTCTCAAACGCCATCATGTGAGGAAACTTCTGAAGCGAAAAGCACATGCGAACCCTACACTAGTTACCATAGAACAATGTAAAAAAAATACATATTAAGATTAACCTTGCTAAACCAAACACTTGAATTGATTTAGCAACCTTATGAAAATTACTAGACGTACTCATTTACCTAGTCAACTAGAGTTAAATGCCATTCAGACCCTTGAGCTACTGTCTGAAAGAAAAATTCAACTAGCAACCGTTTGAATTGTCAATGTCACTTGCTGCTCCAGTAAAAACGCAAAGTTATAACGTAGATACTATGCACCACAAGGGAGGATTGATGTGAAATTTAAATGCGAATAACGGTAAAAATTCTGTGGGCGCGCAACAACATATCGGCAATTTCCACAAAGCTCGAAAACTAACCACAAAATATCCCAAGATTCTTTGGAATTTTCAGGGATGTACAATCATTCAGACTACATGAACAACTGAACCAAAGTAAACATTAACTAGCTGAAGACAATGATTCATTTCTGTAAATCCAGTAGACAACATACCGATTTTGTAATATGAACTTTCATCATAGCCGATAACAATAGACAGTCTTCTACTTTAAATTTAGCTGCTTTGGCGACTTCTGGCTCATCATGCACTGATTTAGCGAGTGCAATTGAGAGTACTAAGGTTAGAACAACAGATACTGCTAAGTTAGGCATTCCAAAATTAAATGATACGAAGTCCACTCCCTAACAAGATTTGCGCCGACACCAAATCTCGCGCGGAAGGGGCTCAATAATAATTGATGTTTCGCCTTTTTAAAGAAATTGCCAATGTGAATAATCTAAGGTGCCATGGAGATGATGAAAGTCTCCATAAACCATATTTTATTAGTCAGCAGAGGTATTACTGATTTCATTTTTTCTTGTTTTGCAGATCCAATTTTTCACGGCGATAATCTCAGTTAAATTTTTCAAAGACAGAGGATAAGAGACTTCTTGGTTTTTAATATTTCCACCACTATTCAGTGTCATATGGCCTAAACTCAACGTAAAATTAAGACTGAAAAACAATTAATGTGATGAAATGATACAGCGTGGGAAGCAGGGTACTATTTCTATACTTTCAGGCGATCCGGACTGAGAGAGCCATGGATGCGTTGGTTGCTCTGAAATCACCTTGGAGACCCAGACTATTCAGTGCAGCGGACAAAAAACAAATTTTCTGCGCTAATTTCAAGTCAGGGCTTTCATATACCTAAGAGAATTGATACGTGTTCCGTTGAGAGCGTTAGTAATAGTTTAGCGCAGACTTCCATAAACAACTGCTTGGTGTAAATTCCAGAATAATGATTTTGCATGATCCCTATTAAAGGTGCGAACTGATACACTGTCTTGGTGGAATTTTAGCTTTGCCGAAGCCTTGGCATGGGAAAGAAAAATATGCCCATCTTAGCTTGCATTTAGTCTTCTCTCTCCATGACTGCCTCGTTGTCATACTGATCATTTTGTCGCACCCCTTGGAAATTACAGGGAACCCGCACCTTTTTTCAAACAGGAATTGGCAATGCAGTTTGCTAACCCACAGTGAACGAAAAATACCGTTTTAATTTGTTAAAGAGGATCAAAGTAGTTCGTTGACTCAGTTGAACCTTAGCCGTTTTATCGACAACGATCAATTTGTTTATCCGTGAGGATTGGAACACTTGATGGCAATAATATAATTTTCAAGAGACGAAAGCTTGCCAGGTTCGCTGTGGCATGGTCATCTAATTGTCTAGCCTCCTCGAATCATAGTCAATAAATACATTTTTCAGCAGCCGTAAGTGTTATATTCTTCTTTTGCCAGTTGGGGGGTTTTAAGTGCGGTCAAGTCACGAGGCAAGTTGGGCCAGACTAAAGAGTTAGGAGGCAGTGTGGCTAGCGCTCAGGTCTAGCATGACTAACAGTCACACATCAATTGTGAGCATTATATCTGGTCCAAACCAACTGGAACCGATAGCGGATCTACTTAAGCTGCCTAACTAACTGGTTTTCTGGAGACTTCGTTGTCAATTTTGTCAAAAGCGAAATCAATCGTACTGAAGATTAACTGTATTTTCTCATAATTCAATGTCGTTGATAACCGTGATATATGTTAACTATCCCTTAATATTACGGCTTTATTTTGATATTCCTCTTATTCCCGGCTTTATCGTCAGGTCACCCATTAAATTCTGAAGTTCAGAAGGCCAATGGGGAAGAGATAATCAGCATAGGTCCCTAGAAGACCACCAGCCATGAACCTGTGGGTCAGGAATTTAGTGGGTCGAAATGGAGACAGGTTGGAAATACTGAGGGTCCTAAGTGAGACCACATTCTGGAATGTAGAGTGGAGCCAGATTGGACAGCCACAGGTTATGCTTATATCTCTGTATGGAGTGGAGATCATAAGGAATCGAAGCCTATCGACATTAACAGAATAGGCTACAATTAATTGTGGAGAACCGTGTTGAATGCATGTGTGTCAATGAAGACATAAGTCCAACTTGGAAAACAAGTGATTATTGATAACAGTTATGAAAATATATATAAGCGACAGCTCAGGTAACCATTAAGATATGAATAAAAGCTTTTAATGAACGTACTTTCATCTAAAAAATTCCAAGTGAGAACAGGAGTATATCGATTAAGGCGTTTAGTGTGACAGTGACATACGGAAGACTTTCCATCTTCATTCTTCGTACGAATTAAACTTCATAAAGAATTTTACTTAATGACAAGTGGTTCTCAGTCTATTTGACTACGTTTGTCCTATGCACCTGCCCATAAGTGAATTAAGGGAACATAGTCTACGAAAACTGATACATGCTCTCGATCGACCAACTTGTGATCAGTATGGCGTTACGTGTCTATCGCTTAACCTTGATTGAGACTAAGTCAGTAATTTTTTAAACCAATAGGAAGCGTGTTGCAGTTTTAAGTCATAAAATTCCACTGCACCTAATGCTAAGTCGAATTTTTGGTCAATTCAACCTTCAGCAAGTCATTATTTTATCACGGTGTATTTGCGCACTGATTTTTGAGTGTCTGCATTGTAAATTTTCCTGTGGCTGGAGAATCGGTTTCATGCTGACTGCTCACAATATAGTCAATTTTAAGTTACGTACAGGCATTTGGAAAGATTTTCGAGTCTCTTTCTGTTTTTCCATGATAAACTTTAAACTTCCCTGCAATATGGGCTTCATTATTTCGGAGTCTACGTTTTGCACCATGTGCGACATTTCACTAGAACTTATCCCACATCTATTTATTTAAAAAATTTTTATTATAGCTTGATTCCACACAGTGCCCACTGCAAACATTACTCCAAGTCCGGAAAGTTCATGTGAGTCGCATCAACTTCCGTCTTCTCGAAGTCAGTCGTTTTAATCTGATGTGCCAAAAACATACTTGTGCTGTATTTAGGTGAACTTGGTGAATACATCCACTTAACACTGCCAAACAAAATCATACGAACGAAAAGTCTCAAGGGCACTACTTGCTATTTACTATTTCTATAGATCAGTCTTCCTCATTTGTGTAAATCTTCAAAATTGCACCATATAAATAGGCGACTTGGCCGTGTAACTGCGACCATAAGTAGGGTGAAGATATACGTTATTACGTGTTAAACTTTCCGTGCCTCAGGTTTTCTCGTCTTTCATTGGTTAGAATAGTGGCGGTCAATTGGGTTTTTTATTTGTCCTAGGTAGGTGCTATCGCGTGCGGTTTTGTGTGGATGTGTTATGCGTGGTTTGCAGGTAACTTTGACAAATATAAATGTAACATTTGACTATCCTAGCATTGTTTCACTGTTTTTTATACAGATAGAGTGCTCTTTTCAATGTACACTCTCTTGGGACTGGTTGACTATTTTGGTGGTTATCAGTGACTACGATCCTGTGGGTCCCAACGCATTTCTTGAATTGTCGTTATACGTACAATACTTTCTACCTCGATATTTCTCACTCACATAGTTTGGTACTATGCGTTTCTTGCGAATTAACTGTGACAAGCTGTGGCAATAGTGTGCTTCGTTTTTCAGATTCAGATTATAAAGATAGAAGGCTCTTGTTGCCTATGTTAATCCTCGCGATATATATCTCTGCAGAGATCCAGCTTCTCTTTGAAAGCGTTCACCGATGGAGCTGTTACTACTGAATCAGGTGAGGAGTTCCAGTCGTTGACCACTCTGTGAGAGAATCTAAACACCAACAGATTTTATTCGACCTAGGTTTGAGCACCTTCTTCTGGTGACCCCGTAAATGTATCCTCGAGGGAGAGAAAAGGTTTGCAAGGTCAATCCCTAAATCACTCTTGAATATACGGTAAGCCAAAATTAAGTCGCCTCGAGGCGACATGTCTATAGTTCCTGGAGACTTTAATTCTAGTGGCCACAGCTTCCTTATTTCACTTGGACATGAGAACATTGTCAACTTCCCGACTCGACTGGATAATCCTCTTGATCTCGTATTTAAAAATGACATAGGAATATTCGAAGCTAGAAAAAGACCCTCACTAATTAATTGTGATCACTGTATCAAAAGAATATTGCCCAAAGTATATGGAAAGCAGCACAAAAGGGTCTTTTCATACCTTGGAAAGAAAACACAACACAGATGTTATTCTCATGACAACATACAGAATCTAAGGACCATGTTAAAAGATACAAACTGGGACTTGTTTACTGAACAAGCTCTTGATAACACAATTAGTAACATAACACATTATCTTAATTTCTGTCTTGATGTTTGTTGTCCTAAAGAGACAATCTTCTTAAAATTCGACCGCTTCTCCTCTTCTTAACTCAAAAAGCTTCGCCGTGTAAAAGAGAGGCTGTACAAAAAGGAAAAGTAAATATGGTGTTAAGAGAATGAACGCTTTGATTAAAGCTGAATTACAAAGATTAAATGCTATATATAATCAGAAGTTTCTTTCATGTAAATCCTCATCTAATATGTGGAAGTTATTAAAGAAAATCACAGGTGGTAAGCGAATAATGAATGATACTTCTGTCGATGTTGATATGCTTAATAAATCCTTCATATGTATTCCTGCAGATGTTATGATTCCTAACTCTAATAATGTAAATAATGACTGTTTCTCATGCTTTAATACGAATGGTGTCCTTAAGTTTCTTCAATCTCTCAAATCTACTCAGTCTCTTGGTCCTGATGGTATTCCTGCTGTTATCGTTAAGAAGTGTGCTGACATCTTATGTTCCCCATTAACCAACAATTTTAACGAATCTTTTTCCAAAAGTATTATACCTGACTCATGGAAAAATATCGAGATTGTTCCAGCGCCTAAATCAATAAGTGGACCTACTGTTAAGTTTAGACCCATTGCTTTTACCTCACCTTTTTTGAAAGTTATGGAAAGACTTACTTTACTGAACCTTGAACCCTCTTTAAAGCCTTTCAATGACCCCAACCAGTTTGCTTATAGACATAGTAGGTGTACCTTAGATGCCGCTATTGTCTTATATCATAATATAGTCTCTAGTTTAGATAGAGGAGCTAAATACGTTCGGTGTGCCTTCCTTGATTACACATCTGCATTTGACTCTGTACCTAGGTCTTTTTTGCTAAGTAAGCTTGCCGCAACACAGGCTGAGAGCTGGACAAATAAGTGGTTGCATTCCTATTTTTCTGATAGGAAGCAGTACACCGTCTACAATGGAAAGTCCTCCACTACCTCACTTTCTTTAGCTGGTGTTCCTCAAGGTGCTGTTCCTTCTCCTTTTCTGTTTTCATTTTTTCTTAGATGACTTGCCCCATTCTGTCAACTCAGTCAGATTGTTCCAAATTAAATAACTTTCTGTCGGAAATTGGTCAGCGGTCCTCTTCAAACGGTCTTAGTCTGAATCCGTCTAAATG